CTGAGGGTCCGCACAGAAATCCAGGACCCCGGGTAGAAAGGGTGTTGGAGGGCATCTCCTCCCCATGTTCCAGACCAGGAAACTGAGGACCCGAGCGGGGAGGAGCCTCTCCCAGCGCTCTGAGATGATGTGCCCCCAAGGCAAGAGGGACTTCACAGTTTTTCAACATTTCCCTTGAGATGTTTTTGTAGGAAATGGTGTTTTTTTATGCGGTCGTTCTTTGTTGTTTTGTTCACAGCCGCGTTTTCCTCCGCCGTGCCTTGAAAGAGCGAGTATAACATGTACTGGTTAAATGCATGGCCTCTGCAGTCATTGTTCAAGTTCGAATCTTGCCTCCGCCAGCTTTCCTACTGTGGGACCTAGGGCAGGTTACTCAGCCTCTCTGGAACTCCGTCTCTGCAGCTGCCAAACGAGAGTAATCGTAGATTGTTGTGGAGATTAAGTAGGTCAATTTGTGTAAAGTGCCTAGAATCTAGTAAGCACTATAAAAGTGCTTGCTGCCTTTATTACCCACAAATGCCATCATTTTTCCTAATATGGCCTCTTAAGACTTATAGGGCATGCTCAATATGTTTTCATGAAAAGCCTCTTTGTATTTGTTTAAATAGAGTTTATATACGGTCATTTACTGGCATCAGTTACACTCATTCATTCAATCCAACACAATTCATGGGCCTACTAAGTGCGAGTGCTAAATGCAGGCATGGCTAGCACTACGGCAACCAAGCACAAACACCACCCTGGGCAGAGTGAGCAAAAGCCCCTACCCTCACAGTCCTTACACTCTAATCCTCCCACTTAAGCAAAGTGTTTTTACCCACATTGGAAAACTCACTCATTTACAAACCCTCTAAGGAGCTTGTTGTCTCTCGGGAAGTACTCTGAGAATTTTCAAAATAGTAATTCATTTAATCCTCATGACAATGCTCTCAATACCATCCCTATTTAACAGAGGAGGAAACTGAGTCACGGAGAAGCTAGGTAACTTGTTGAGATCACACGGTCAGTAAATGGCCAGGACACCCCATGGAACCACAGTCCAGCTACCCAGTCCTGTCTGCAGGTGTCTGCCTGCAGTCTGATGTCATTAGTGCTGACGCCTGGCTGAGCGCTCACCAGCCTGGCACCTGGGCCAGCTTTTGACCAAGCGTGTTAGCTCAGTACCAACCTTTGGCCATGAAGTGTGTTTACTCCTCACATACTGTCTTAGAGAATTCTAGAAAATACCTCTGGGAAAATGGCCCTAAATCCTCAGACAGGCCTTGATCAGAGAGCAGGAGAAGAGAGTCCAGAATTCTGGTTATCCTTCAGGAAACCTCCTGCACGCATTTGTGGATGGAGCATGTGGCCGATTCTCATGTACCCCAGCTATTACAGGGACCTCAGCAGTTTGCAAGCTGGCCTTCACTGAGGTTCATCACTAAGGAGACCCTGGCCTCAGGAGAGGAGGGCACAGTGTGGGGTTTCATGAGGGCCAGTGGCAGGGCTCGCACGTGAAGCCAGGTCCTCTGACTTGCTCCCCAGTGCCCCTTCCATGGAGGGAGGAGGGAGGCGTGAGGGAGGAACTGCAGGAATGAAAGACAGAGAGGCAACAATCCCTATTTCCTGAATTCCTGTTGGCTTGCCGACAGCGCCCTCCTCCTCTCCCTGTGAGGGCTCTCCAGGCAGCATTCCTTCATTCACTCAGTCATGTATTCATTCAACAAACATTGGTTGAGCTCCATCGTCATGGGGGAGATAGGTCATAACACAAAATGTGGGAAGCACAGGGGCTGCAGCTGCCTGGAGGAGGTGCCCGACTGAGGCTGGGGCTCAGGAAGGCTTTCCTGAGGTAGTGATGCATAGGAGACACCACAAAGGGGAACAGCAATCAGCAGGGGAAGCAAGAGAAATGGACAGAGGGGTCCATCTACTGAAGGCATGGAGGTGAGGGAAAGGCACTCCCAGGGAGCTGAGAGGAACCCCATCTGCCTGGAGCAGAGAGCTGGTCTCGGCCGGGTGGTGAGAGGCAAAGCAGTGAGCTAGACAGGGTTCAGGGGGAGCAGCCTATAGCCAGGGCCGAGTGGTAGGCCCTGCTCTGCCTCTAACGCCCCTTAGACAGATGCCTTTGCCCTTTGAGACTCAGTCTTCACATCTGTCATGGGTGGATTGGACCCACTTGTAATACGCAAGCTCCTTTCCCACGCTGACATTCCATGTCAAATTCCCATTCTGGCTTCAGCTTCCTTGGGCAGCCTCCCCGCAAGAGCTACCATAGAGCAGAGGTTTATCAGCGTGTGGCCTCTGCAGTCAGGGGGGCCCAGGTTCAGATCCCAGCTTTGCCACAATCTAGCTTGAACTGTCCTCCAATTTTTTTATCTGTAGAAGAGGAATGATAATGTACCCACCACCCAGGCAGGTCAAGTGTTAAGCAGGAGACCCGGCTCCTGGCCCCCACCCTGTAAATGACAGCTCTTACCCTGCTGTCCAGACAGCAGCCTTGGCCTGGTCTGCTGCAGACTCTGAAGAGAAACTGGGATCCCAAGGCACCTCATTCTGAGGCCAAGAGGTGCAGACACGGGGGAGAAAGGGAACTGACCTTTGAGTACCAGAGACTGTACTGTCCCCTCTGCACAGCATCCTCATAAGAAGGTTCAATTGTTACCCTCATTTTAGAGATGGCAAAACTAAGGCTCAGAGAAGCAAAGCAACCTGTTCTATAACTAGGAACCCAGCTCTGTCTGATTCCACTAGAGCAGAGGTCATCAAGCTTTTTCTGCAAAGGGCCAAAGAGTACATTATTTTTGCAACAGACCGATGCCATCATTACAGCAGAGAGGCAGCCATTTAGAGCAGCTACATGAAAGGGCATGGCTTTTTTCCAATGAAACTCTATTTATGTCATTTGGCCCAAGGGCCACAGTTTGCCACCCTGCACAACATGCCACTTTCCCCAAGGCTGAATCATAACATCGCCCTTTATTAAGTAAGAACACTTACTATGCGGTGAGCCACCAAGCAGGGCACTCAGGCTGCATTTTCTGGTTTAATCTTTATATTAATTCTGATCATCATATTATTTTTCTACCCGTTTTTGAAATGGGAATATAGAGGTTCCTCAAAACCTGTGTGTTGCACAAGCCAGCACTCTGGAAACATTGTATGGCCTCCTTGCACAAACATCACCAAGCCATAACCACGGAAAACATCGGGGGTCTCACGTATTCCTCCCATATCACGTGGATTTTCACATTTCCCTCTGCAACAGAACAAAATAAGCAGGCATGTGTTTGCAAAGGTCATGGAATTCAAATAAAGTGCACGATGCTTCCTTCGCTCTTGCAGAAAGCATAAGAAAATATGACAAGGAGCATTACTTTGCATTCATTACCAAGTCAGCTCCTGTGCAGAGGGAAAGCCCACGAGCTGGAGACGGCTGGGTGGCTGTTCCCCTAGGACTGAGTCCTGGGCCCCAGAAGCCTCTCTTGCCCCCAAACAAACAGGAGCTGATGAGCATCACCACTTCCTGCAAACAGTGAGGATGCCCTTTCCTCCTTAGAGATAAGCGTATGCTGTGGAGATGAGCCCTTAGCATGGCATGGGCCAAGTAGCTGCTCTATGCCCAAATGTCTCTCAACATAGTGTCACAATGAACACATTTCTACTGTGACTTACATTTCTAAGAGTAACACACAGGTTTGGTCAGTCATTAACATAATAGTGTGAATTACACCTTGGGGGCAGAGAAATGTGGCTCTGAAAACAACTGGGGCACTTTATCAACACTGTGGCCAGAGGCAAATCATATTTTCCCCTGCTGAATGCGTAGAAGCTGAACTAAAGCAAAAGTTACGCGTGGTCTTTGAGCCACATGGAGCCCCAAGGCATATTTTATCCCTATTAAATATTTTTTTTTATTTTAGTTGGGATAATCAGTGTAAATAGTAAATGTAATAACTTATTTAAATATATTTAAATTTAATGTTTAAATGTAATCATTTATTTCAATCATAATTTTAAATTTTAAAAATAATTTTTAATTTGGGGCAATTCCTTTTTACATTTTAAATTGGGAGAACTAATTTAAATAATAAGGACTTGCCCCAGACTGCAGTGCCCTCTCCTGCCTCCTATCTAACTGCCTGTCAATCATCACACCTGCCTGGTTCCTGAGGTCCTGTGAATTTGACACTGATTGTTAACCGTGGCTCTGCACTGGATGCGATGAGAGCTGTCTGAAGGAGGAACTCCCTTTAGATGGGGCTCTGGTCGGGCAAGTTTGGCTGACAAGGCAGGCAGAACATGTCTTTTACAAACAAAGTGTTCTCTGGGGAAGGTGGGATGTGCTGAGAACCCAAGAGGTATCAAGGGACAGGAAGAAGGTCACTTCTCCAAGGAAATGTTACTGTCCTTGCTTCAACACAGGATACACATCTAATTTAAAGAACCTTGGAGTCTAGTCTAAATGCCCGGCTTCAAACCCAACTTTGGCCCTATTTCCCTGGACAAGTTATTAGACCTCCCAGAGGCCCTTGGGAAATGAGTCAATGGTAGCCAGATTCCACATTTTTATTTTTTTCAACTTCCTAGACAAGGCAAGGCATCTCGACACACACATTCCCTCTACTCTGGAAAACAAGGTGGAAACTGCTTCACTTTGCAGATGGCAAAATTGAGACCCATCGGTTGCAGGAGGTCACACGGCGAGCCCTGGGCAGGATTCCAGCCTCATGCCTCTGCCTGCAGATCCCACAAGCCTTCCTTGTGGCCATGATGCTTCCAGGCTCCACCCATCAAGCTGGGGTGTGGACGAAACTCATCTGCCAGAGCAGGTGTGTGAGGACTGAATGCAGGGGGCCACCTGGATGAGGGCACCTTTGCTTGGTACACCCGTGGGGTCACAGAGGCTCCTGGATCTGGGCTGGTTGCAGTTTTGCCATTGAATCTAGAAGATTCGGGCTCATGAAGCAATTCCGTTTCCTGTTTCTTGTCAATTCCAGGCAAGGCGTTAAGGAGATGCGCACAGGAATCCACTCCTGGTCAACCCCTTGACGTAGTAAGCAGTCATCAAGGGGTCACCCACAGGCCCGATGAGGGTGATGACTGGCTCCTGGCAGGTATGCCTGGTGGTGGTGTTTCCTTCCAAGTGGTCCATTCCCCGGGCTTCTTTTCTGAGCACAGAAAGAAGATGAGGAGGGGTCCTATTGAGCTGTTTCCTTTCAGAATCCATCTCAAGACAAAGAGGAAGGCGGGGTGCCCAAGCATGATGGAAACGGGGGGTTACGTCCATAACCTGCCCATTCAGAAGACAGTGACGGGGAGGAAGCTTGTGGGGGAGAAAAGAAATCACACAGTATTTTCCTCAGCTCCACCTTATCTTAGTTGATCTGAGTGGCTTTGTTTTTCCTTTTTTATTATCATTATTATTATATTATCATTACCATTCTTCTCCCCATTGAGTTTCATAACCCCGTGTTCCTCTAGAACAGAATAAGACGTAAATTTGCTGAATGTTTTTTTCTCCTGAAGCCTGAAAACACGATGATCCTTTTTCTGGCCACAATGACTCCTCACAGTTAAGAGGGAAATTGGAGTATTATCCAGGAAATGTAACAGAGCGGGCCTTGACCCCCACAAATAAAAAAATTAGGGGTTTCTCACTCGCATATACATTTTAAAAACTTTCTTGAAGCCTCCTCAGAGCCATGATCTCATTTAAGTCTCACGCCAGCCCTGAGAGGTAGGAGGGAGAGACACGATTCTTTCCATTTTACAGGTGGGAAAACTGAGGCCCAGAGCGGTTGAATAAGTTTGTTCAGGAACACTCGGCAAGCCCCAGAAGATCTGGGAGTGGACTCAGACCCCCGGGCCCCTCACCCAGACCTGTCTACTACAGCCCCTCCCCCAGGTAGTGGGCGGGCGTGTGTTCACTTCCCCGGCAGGAGCCCAGCCCGTAGATACAGACTGGGCACCCAGACGGGATGCCCCAATCGGAAGACAAGGGTTAGGGGTCTCCACACTGAGGGTGGTCCCCGGACTTTCTCACGTGGAGGGCTTCGATGGGCAGGAAAAGGGGGTTGTGGGATGGACGGGAGAGCTGGGAGACGCACGGACACCTCTGTGTTCTCTGTCTCTGTGTGTTACCGCTTCTCTCTCTCTTACACACACACGTGTACCTTATCTCCAAGGCCTATCACGGAGATAAAAGCAGCTTTTTCTCTCTGAATAGATGGAAGTCCTTGATCTGGAAAGTGTTAAATTTCCCTCTACCTGGTTCATTTTCAAGGTAAGTTTCATGGCTCTTCTCTGTTCCCTCCATTTGCTACCATAATTGGGGCATTTTTCTGATTCCTTAATTCAGCAGCTCGATTATAGAAATGTTCGTGTCATCGTCCCTCCCAGGCCTCATTTCCCACACTTCCCTCCTTCATTCACTCCACACCTGGCTCCTATAATATCATCCCTTCACCCACTGCAAATCAAAATAGGGCTTTTTTTAAATAAAAAAAAAAACCCTGTCCTTACAATTGATATTCTCCAGGAAAAAAAAAGTTTTTAATGAAATATCATTGGGTCATTTTAAAGCTGTTTGCAACAGGACCACTGCTCAAACCACAATGACAGTCTACAAACCCCCTTCTCGCCACTCAGGGGCAGAGAAATAAGCAGTGGAGACAAAATGATTAGACAAATCCTGTGTTTCCCATTTTCGTTCATTTTCATTCCTCAGGTTTCCTATCAAATATTAGCAACTCACCTCAAGGTGAAAACAAGGGAAAATGAGATCTCAGATGGAAATAGCAGAAGTTTCCAAGCACGCTGTTCTCTAAGCAACTGGATTCAGTTCACCCCATGCCAGCCATGGCTGCCCGTGAATCTATGCTTAGGATTCAGGCAGAATGGGTTCAAATCCCAGCACTGTTTCTTCATGGCTTTGTGACCTTGGATATTAATTCCATCTCTCTGAGCCTTGTGTTCCTTGTTCCTTACACATGGGATTACTGGGAAGGTTTGTGAAGAGAGTGGCAATCATCTATTACCAGTGATGGTATCGGGTACTGATGAGTGGGGCTTACTATGCCCCAGCCAGTGCATGCTAAGCACCCTCAGATGGGATCCTCATTCTCCATTCTTACCATGGTTTTTTTAAGGGTCCGTGTGATGAGTACATTCATCATACAGCTACAAACACTGAGAACCAGAGAGGTGCAGTGACTTGCCCAAGGTCACACAGCTAACATACCACTTGCTAGAACTGACTCTAACACCTACATTCTTAACTCCACATGAAAACATCAGGACACCATGCCCTGCACCTAGTCCATACTTAGAAAAGTTTTATCCTCATTCATTCCTAAGAAGGGCACTATTAGGAGGCGGGATCATCTGGGTCTGTGGCATAACTCTGTGTGTGCCCTCTTCAGAGGCCTTTAGAACAAAGGCCATTTTAATTAGCAGAATGGTGTTCTTTGGGGCCAAAGTAAAGAGACAATAAAGCAACTCCCAGAGCAGACAAGCACGTGGACTCAAGCCAAGCACTTGTCCTGACACAAGCGAGATTAATGACCCATGAAGTAGTGCAGCAACTATTGGGTCAGCCTCTGGCTTCCGGAGGGCAGTCAACCCACAGCAGTTTTGGAAGTCACTGACTTAGTGGTATGCTGGGGTGGGTGTCGGACCTGCCCCCTCTCCAGTGTCCGGCCTGCTCAGCTGCAATCATGGAAGCCTCCTTGTCTGGCCAGGATCACCGGGCCCTCCTACAGAGTGAGGTCCAGAAACCCCACTCCAGTCTGATCCCAGGTACCCAAGAGGCACTCCAAGTGCTACCGTGCCTATTACATTATAACTGCCCAGTCTATGTTGTTTCTCAAACTTCTTCATCTCAGGACCTTTCACCCTCTTAAAAATGATTGAAGACCCCCTCCCGCAAGAGCCTTTGTGTATGTGAATTATGTCAACAAAAATTATCATCTTAGAAATCAAGGCAAACATTTTTAAAACATTCATCTATTGATGTACAAATAACAGTAAGAAACCCATTTCAATATATGTAACATACTCTACTGAAAATAAGTACATTCTTGCCCAACCAGCAGAAATGCAGACATTCGTGGTAAAAGACGGCAATCCCGGCCATGATGGAGGATGTGGTTACATTTCCGACCCCGTCCCACCACACGTCGGATCTTTCCAGCAGCTCCATGTGGTAATTCTGCTCTTCCTTTCATTCGACCACAGTGGGCACAGAGGAGTGGGGCAGCTTGCCCAAGGGCAGAGCCGGGGATCAACCCCAGACAGTCAGGCACCAGGTACTGTGTTCGAGGCCATGACAACGAGTGTATAGTCCCCAAATCAGAGAAGCCGTCCCAGTCTCACATCAGCCAAGGTGGTAAATCTCTGTGGTTTTACACTTGGCAACTAAAAATACGGAGCGCATGCTAAGTAGGCAAGACTGGGTGAATTCAGTGTTGTGTTTGTTAAATATTTGATCTGGGAGAATTAAATGGCATCTTCTCTCTAGAGAACCGAAGCTGATGGGCCCAGAAATAAAGTTGATGAAAATAGCCCTAATTGTAATCATACTCAAATGTGTACGGTTTCCAAAAACCTTCCATATATGTTAGCTTGTTTAATTGTCGAGTTCAATGACGCTCGCCGGTCCTCCCTCAAATCAAATCTGCTGTCCACGTTCTTTTCATGCAGCTGCGTCCTTGAACCAAGCTTCAGCATTTGCCACCCCATCCCCTCTCTACTCGTCATCCCTGCCACTTGAATGCTGCCGCTGGAGATTCCCTTCAATAATGATAATGACAGTGAATATTGATTGAGCACCTACCGTGCGCTGGGTATCTCACTGAAGGCCAGGCATGGATGACATCATTTGCTCCTCTCCATAACTTGTGAGTTCTGTATTCCCATTTTACAGATGAGGACAGCGATGTTAGGGAAGTCACATTATGTACCCATGGATACACAACAAGGAGACACCGATCTGGGATTTGAATGCTGCAGGCTGATTCCCTAGCTTGTTCTTAACCACCGAGAAACCCTGCCCTCCATTGACAAGCCGGCCTCATCCATTGCTGCCATCCATGGACTCCTGTGGATCCCTGTTGCTCATAAAGGCCACAAACACTCCATTATGGAATCCACATCTTTTAAAACTGGGTTTCTGGTTCATCTCCTGGGCTCTCCTTCCGGCCTCACCTTACCACCATCACTCTGCTCTCCGGACAGACCAGACTCCCCCATCACCTGGCCACATGGCCACCTGCACACATGCCATTTCCTCCGACGACCACTGCCATACTTTCCCCACCAGTCAAAGTCCTCTGCAGGCCTGAAGACCCAGCCCTCCAGTTCCGTCCATTCTGAAGTCACAGGTGACTTTTCAGTCCCTCTCAGGGTACTGTCAGAGCACACCATTCCTGTTTGGATTTAACCTTATCACGTTATGCTGTTCAGGGCATTGGAGAAGAGCACGGTGTGTGGGTCCGCCCAGCCTCTACTTCTCACTAACTGTGTGACTGTGTTCAGGTGACTTCACCTCTCAGAGCGGTGGTGTCCCCCATCTGCAAAATGGCTCTGAAAACGGGGTTAACTGCCTCCCAGGGCTGTCCTGATGCTGCGGGGGGGAGCTGGACTCTGGACTACTGGACATAGGGTTGGAGAGGTTGCCCGGGATCCCCTGGCCCCTGCTTCAGGTTTCTCCTCCCAGGTGCATTTACCTGGGAACTGGAAGATGCCTGGGCCTGTGTAAGGCTTTCCTGGTAAGGTCATAGATGGCGCGGGTTCTCTCAGAAAGGAGGTGGAAGCTCCAAGCAAACAGGGTTCAAGGGCCCCAGGAAACAAGCTTCCCTGGGGTCTGGCTGGCCAGTGGCTTTTGGGGTAGGTCTAAGCTCACAGAGCTGCATGGGGTGGGAAGGGCTGGGGCAAGGCCTTCTCCACCAACCAAGGCCCATCGAGGAGTCTGCAGAGGGGTCACCAAGATAATCGTGACCATCACGGGCACAGGACAAAGTTAAGAGCTTTACAAATGCTACTTATTTTTAATCACTGTAACAGGACAGACCTGTTCTTTACCCTCTGCTTGTGGCATCTCCCCATGGTCTCGGAGGGCTGAGGACTGGGGTCATCTCCCTGGGTACAGAAAGGACAGTGGGCTGAGGGAAAGGGCACCTGACCTATTAGAAATGTGTGAGAGTGTATGTGCCTGTGTATGCCAGTGGGCACCTGCATGAGCACCCGAATCGCATCCAGTGAGCACCCCACTGCCCTCACACCCAGACACGTGCATGGGCATGCACACTCATATGCCTGCGCACACCCTCCCCCCCCTCACGAAGCCGGGCACGTACCCCTCCTTTGCCATCCCCTCTTCTTCCTCTCTCTGCCCCAACTTGTTCGGTTGCCTCAGGAAAACCTCCCATCTTCCCCAAACCTGCTGCCGCAGCCCAGTGCCAAACTCCAGGGGCCTTCAGTCCTCAGTGACTGAGGGGACGGGTCCAGCCTGCAGCACGGAGGAGAAAACGGCCGCCATCTCTGCATGGAGCCGTGCTCCCAGTGGGAGGAGGTCAAAGCCCACGCAGTCTGCCGCTGGGGCTTGCGGCGTGGCCTCGGGGTACTCCCTGCCTCAGCTGGGCCCCTGGACCCTGCACGTGTGGCTCCTTTGCCAAGAACCCTTGTTCCCCATCCTCCTCTTTGCCTAAGTCTTCCTCCATCTTCCTAAACATCACCACCTCCAAGAAGCCTTCTCTGATCCCCAGACTGAGTTATGCCTCCTCTGGATGCCCTCAGTTGCCTCAGTTTCCCCCATCAGAACACCTAATATACCAAATCATAATTGCCTGACTGAGTTCAGAAGCCACACTTGTTCACTGCATTATCTCTGTGACCCAGTGCATAGGAAACCCTCAATCAATTGTTGCTGTTCAAATGAGTAATGAAAAGTGAAACATGATTGTGTGATGCTGGATGATTTTTCTAGAAAGTTTCCCACCCATCCCCCTGTCCCAGAGCCCCGCCAGGCTGTGGCCAAGCTCAGGCTTCCAGCTCACTGTGTGTGTCCCCACTGCAGTGAGGGAGGGTGGGGCTGAGAATCCAGGTGCGCGCTTCTCTGCTCAGCCTGGTTCCGAGGCTGTCCCCCCCCACACCCCACTCTGAGCCCCTGCAGGATTAGCCGGAGCCTGCACAGCTCAGGGCCAGCCACTGACTCCACAGGTGAACCCCGATGGCCTCGGGCAGGGACAGACCCATGGGGGACCATGAGCAGTCGCCCCCTCTCTTTCCCAATATGGAAGTATTTTCCTCCAGCATGATACAGGCTGCTGGGTCCTCTCCTCCCTGGGGCTGGGCATAACCAGGGAAAGGGGACCCACAGTGTTCCCACTGCTAGAGCCCTCAGCAGGCCGTCATATTACGGTTTATATATATATATATATGTATATGTATATTCCCCTAAGCCCTTCCTATAATGTGACTGACATACCTTCCACTTAGAGGGGGGTCTGTGTCCCTGCCCTTGAATTTTTCAGGGGCTGGTGACTGCATCAGTCATGCTATGGGGTTTCCAAGGCAAGATCATAAAGAGATACAGTCCTGACCCCCCTGTTTCTCCTCTGCCTCCTTCTCTTCCTCTTTCTCTTCCTTCTCTCTCTCACTCTCTTCTCGGTGGAGCCCAGCCACCATGCTGTGAGGAATTCCAACCAGCCTGAGACCGCATAGAGAGAAGCCATGCAGACAGAAGCGGAGGCTGCGGCCAGTGGTCCGCATTAACCGTTTGTCGCAGGAATGAAGGAGACTTGAGATGATTCCAGCCCCAGGCTCCGTCTTCTAGCTGAGACCCCAGGCACTGTGGAGCAGAGGCAAGCCATCCCAGCTGAGTCCTGCTCTGAATTCCCAGCCTATAAATACTTGTTTTACGTCACTGGGGTGATCTGTTGTACAGCCAGAGCATCTGGAACAAACTGTAACACAAAAAAATATAGGCAGTCTCAAGGAAATGGATGCACAGAATTTGGTCATGGAAGCCACCAGCCTCCCACATTTATATAAGCAAGGGCTTTAAAATCAGAACTCATTAGCTAAGTGGGAATATCAGAAGTGACCACCTCAAAGGAGTATGGTGATTAATAACCCCTCTTATAGAGGAGGAAACTGAGGCCCGAGAGACTGCCCATGAAATGATGGAGCAGAGACCCGCCCACCTCCAGGTATGCAAGACACCCGCCGTGCGGTTCACAGACAGAAAGTGTTCCCTCCTGGAGAGAACTGTGATGGAACAAGGGTTTGTTGAGGCTCGGGAGCTTCACTGCACTGTTAAATGTGGTCGTCACTGTACTCCTTCAACATAGCCATTATTATTTCCATTTCACAGACGATCAAATTAAGGCTCCAGGAAAGGACAAGAGACTTGGCCTTTTGCCAAGAGGTGCTGGCCCTGCGTCCAGAGCCCAGATCTGCTCGCTGCAGCCCCCGGGGCTTCTCTCTGTTCATGTTGCTTCTTTCCGTATAGTTACATCCTATTTTCCCCCATCCCCAAATAACGTCTTTGTGCTTAATGCTCATGGAGGCACAGAGCTGGTGAGGGTGTGGCTATTTGCCTTCCAAGTCAGACACCCATGGTTCAAAGCTTTCATCCCCTACTCACCACCTGTGTGACCTTGGGTAAGATGCCACTTCACCTCTTTGAGCCTCAGTTTTCTTCCCAGTAAAATGCAATTAAAAGGTTTACTTGCTGTAAGTATCGAATGCAACAAGGGGTGCAAGGGGCCCAGAATGGCCCCCATTATAGAGTGACTGCCCTATCCAGGTTGGGTTCCCCCCACCCCCGATCCCCGTTCAGAGCACTCCCTTCCGGAAGGTCTTGCAATAATAACGCTAACAGCTTACAGTGACTGGGAGCTTGCCATGTCGCAGGCATGGTTCAAAGTGCTTTACATAAATTACATTTAATCCTCACACCACCACCATGAGGTCCAGACACTGTCATTGTCTTTATAGATGAGAACAGAAGCACGGAGAGGTACACTTGTGTGAATGACGTAGGGCCGCCTTAACTGAGGCCATAAACTGGGTGGCTTAGGACTCAAGGAGTCCAGTCTCATGGCTCTGAAGGCTCGAAGTCTGAGATCAAGGTGTTGGCAGGCTTAGCTCCACCCAAGGGCTGTGAGGGAGAAGCTTCTCCGTGCCTACCCTCCGGGCTCTGGAGGGTGGCTGGCAATCGGTGGCATTCCTCCACTTACAGATGCATCACTCCGATCTCTGCCTTCATCTTTGGGGTGTCTGCCTGTGTGTGTGTCTGGGTTCAGATTTCGTCCTCTGGTAAAGACACCAGCACTGTTGAATTTGGAGCCCACCTACTCCAGCATGACCTCACCTGGACTAATCACTTTCTGCTGTGACCCTATTTCCAAAGTCACATTCTGAGATTACTGAGGGGGTAGGACTTCAACGTATGAATTTGTGGTGGTGGTGGGGGACACCATTCAACTCATAAGAGACATCTTATCCAAATCCACACAGCTAATAAATAGTGGGGCCAGGCTCCGCGTCCAGTTAGGAGCCTCCAGCACCGTGCTTTTGGCCGTGGCACTGTAAGGACCTGAATGCCCCAGAGATGGACCCCTGGGAAGAAGATCTCACTTGCAAGCCCAGCTGTGCTGCCTCGGAAGCTCTCCAGCTCCCCAGGACCAGCCCCCATCCTGTGCTGACTCAGAGGCAGCCTGGGAACACCGGGGGTGGCTTCTCCAACAACTCCACCCGAGCACAAGAACAGTTCGTTTGCTAAAGTAATTAAAAACATAATCTGTGCCATTCCATTCCTTTTCCATTTTTCTGTACGTGTTCCCCAGTGCACCGAGTTACATGCCTTCCCTAATCGTTGCTGACACGTCAGCTCTCCCCTCAACTCCCGCACAAACTGCCATCCTTAGAGATGAGGGGGTTTCAAGACAGTTTGTTTTAATGTCAGGATCTACATCTCTGATAATCATATACACACACCCCATTTGCTGGGAATTCACCGCTCAAATAAGAGGCCAGGTTGACAGTTCTGACACCCCAGCCCTCTCGTCAGCTGCAGACAGGGGAGCATGCCAAGGGCACCGTGCCAGTCTTACTGCTGTGGGAGTTCACTCTGAGCTGGCTTTCGGTGGCATCCAATGACTGTTACTGCAGGGTTTGAACCAGAGTCGTCGGTCCTTAATAGACCAGACCGTGCAAGGGAAGATCAGCCAACCCACCCGCCCTGCCAGCCCCGCAACACGTACCAGTGTTAAGTATGAGAACAAAAATAAGATGCGCACGTACTAAGGATACTCTGGTGCCCTTTTAGTTGGAAGCATTTACTGATGAGCTGATCATGGGGACATGAATACCATTATTAAGCAGGTATTATGTGCCAGGCTCTGCTGGACCACTCACTGTCTGACATTTCATAATGGCTGTAGATGCCCATTTCTGGATGATCAAAGCCAAGCACACACAAGGGAAGGGATCTAAGTAAGGAAGCTCAGTTGAATTGGGATTTCAAAGCTGTGACTCGATCTCTTTATGCCGCTTTATACTCCTAATAACACCTTTTCTTGAAAGACTGGGGTTTCCAAACTTGATGAATAGGAAGCTATGGGTCGGTGTTTAAGGCAAAGGTGGGCTTTGAAAGGGTAGACAGATGCTCCACCTCTTACCAGCTGTGTGACCTTGGGCATGTGACTTTACCTCTCTGAGGCTCGGTTTCCTGGAGAAAGGAAAATGGAGGAGCTAAAACCTCACCTACCTTATGCGGGTTGTGAGGCTCATATGCACTCACACACAGAGTGGCTCTCAAACTTGAGTAGGCATGCACAGCATCCCCTGGAGAACACATTATAGCGCCGAAGCCTGGGCCCTCCCCCAGAGGTCTGACTCAGTAGGTCTGGTGTGGCACCAAGAATGTGCATCTCGAATGAATTCCCAGGCAATGGTCCAGGGTCTGTGTGCTGAAAACCACTAAGTTAATTCTTATGAAGAAGTGAGTGGAGGGCAAAGCACATAGAAAGTGCTCAATAAGTGACAGATGTCACTGTCATAGTGTCACCATCACCACCACCATTGCATGATCCTGTGGCACAAGAACTCTCTGGCAGGAAATCTGGATCTTGCTGGCAGACAAGCGGCAGAACCAGGAAGGCCGTGGTGGGAGTGTGTGCCTTTACATCTCTTGCTATGTCTCCAGCTGTGGTCGCTATGGGAGAGAGGAGGGAAGAGGGTGCTATAAGGTCTCAGAGTGACGCTTCCTGAGCCACAGCATGGGCAGAGGGGTCGGGAACTCTGGGGGTGTTAATCAGAGGATCTGGCTGTAGGGATGCAGGGTCAAGGCCGTCTAGAGCATCGGGGCTCCCTGCAAGGGCTCTGACGGCTGGTGCAGCTGAATTTGAATACTGGTCCTGCCTCTGCCAAGCTGTGCAACCTTGGGTAAGTCACTTGCCCTCTCCATTCCTCAGTTTTCTCTGTAAAATGAGAATATTAACAGTTTCCATCTCCCAGAGTTACTTTTGCAGATTAAATGAGATGCTTACAGGAAGTTCTTAGCATAGTACCCAGCATATAGTCAGCACTCAAGAAATGAAGAGTATTATCGGTCTCCTGCCCTATTGTTGAACTGAGAATAGGAACGGTTAAGACCCTAAATTTCCTGGCCTCAGAATCCAACACTACGTAGGGAAGCCAGAGCCCCATGTGCATGGATCTATTTTAATTTCTCTGGTTCTGCCTGTATATCCTCCTCAGGGCACCTACCTCTTTGGATGACGATTTGAATTGTTACTTCCTAGAGCCAATAATACATCTCACCTCTCTAAAGACAAAGGTAAATATAATTAAAAAGTGATTATAATCTGGGACTACATTCATAAGCTTTGCTAGACCTAA